CTTGCGAATCTATTGAACCATCAATTCCTTCTGGTTTGAAACTCTGAAGACGTGGGGGAAAGAAACCCTCAGAGTATCCTCTCTACACCACCTATGATTCCAAAAGCTGATTCTCCTTCCATCTCCCACCCTGTAAGTGATGTTGCCATTAAAGGCTTCCCAATTCTTCATGATGCTCCTCCACATGCCACACTCGAAAGGTGTTGTGATCGCCTTGGTCCTCCAATCCCCTCCATGGAATCGTACTTTTCTACTATGACCTCCTTCCATAGAGCATGCTCTTCTACCCCGAATCTCCACAGCCACTTCCCCAATAAAGCTTTGTTGAATACCCTAAGATCTTTTACTCCAAGTCCATCCCACTTCTTTGGGGAAGTGACTATCTGCCAATTCACTAGATGAAACTTTTTAGTTCCTTCCGCCGTATCCCAAAGAAAATTCTTTTGAAGCCGCTCCAGTTTTTCTGTGATGCTCACGGGAGCTTGCAACATGGACAAGTAATAGGTGGGCATACTCGATAAGATGCTTTTAATAAGAACTTCCTTACCGCCTTTTGACAAGTACCGTTTCTGCAAGCTTGCTAATCTTTTTTCAACCCTTTCAATCACTGGATTCCAAACCGCAGTATCCTTATGCGAAGCGCCCAATGGGAGACCCAGGTAAGTAGTGGGAAGAGAGCCCACCTTACATCTGAGAACATAAGACAAAGCATCGATGTTAGCAACCTCACCCACCGGGAGAATCTCACACTTGCCGAGGTTGATCTTGAGTCCTGATACTATCTGAAATTACTGCAGGACCTGCTTCAGGTAGGTCAACTGATCCATATCGGCATCACAGAAAACCAGGGTGACATCCGCAAAAAGCAAATGAGAGACTCTTCGAGCACTGAGCGCCCCGATCGGAGCTGAGACTCCTCTCAAGAAGCCTCCGCCAGCCGCACGATCCATCATTTTACTCAGAGCATCCATCACTAGAATGAATAGCATGGGAGATAGGGGGTTACCTTGCTTGAGACCCCTAGAGCTACCCAAAAAACTACATGGGCTACCATTAATCAGGACAGAGAATTTGACTTAGGAAATGCAGAACTTGATCTATCCCCTCCATCTTACCCCAAACCCCATCCGCATCATAATGAAATCCAGGAACTCCCAATTGACATGGTCGAAAGCCTTCTCAAGGTCCAACTTGCATAGTAAGTCGGGTTCTCTATTTTTCCTTCTGGAGTCTACAAGTTCATTTGCCAGCGAAGCAACGTCCAATATCTGCCTACCTTCCACAAACGCATTCTGGGAGGACGAAACTGACACATCAAGAACCTTCTTGAGTCTATTGGATAGCACTTTAGAAATAATCTTGTAAGTGTTCCCCACGAGACTAATAGGTCTGTAGTCTCTGATACAAGATGCTCCTTCTTTCTTAGGCACAATGGTAATAAAAGAAGTATTAATACTTCTCTTGAAAACACCATTCACGTGGACGTATTCAATGGCTTCCATCAACTCCCCCTTAATGTTGTCCCAACAGAGTTGGAAGAAGGCCAAGGAAAAACCATCAGGCCCGGGGGCCATATCACCAGCACAACTCGACACAGCCTCGTGCACCTACTCCTCCTCGAAAGCCCTCTCTAGCCACTCACTGTCTATGTGGTTGAACTCTATTCCCCCAAAGTAGGCCTCCAACTAACTTCCTCTTTGCATAAGTTCTCGTAAAACCCCACTATCGCCCATTTTACCTCCTCCCCTCGCTCAATCCTCACCCCATCAACAACTAAGGACTCTATGAAGTTTCTCCTTCGATTTGCAGCCGCAACCCTGTGGAAAAACTTGGTATTCGAATCCCCCTCCTTTAACCAGAGCGCCCTCGATTTATGCCACCAACTAATCTCCTGAGCTATTGCTAACTCGACTATTTCCCTCTTAACCTCCCCCTGTCTCGCTTTCTCAAATTCATCTAACTCCCTCGCCCCTTCCCCTCTCTCATTCCCCCAATTCATGCATGAGCTCCCTCATTTTAACCTCTATCCTCCCAAAAACCTCCTTATTCCACCTAATAATATCTCTCTTGAGCAATTTAAGTTTCTTCGAAAGACGGAAGGAAAGTGTCCCAGATATCTCGTAGCTTGTCCACCATTCTTTCACTTTGTCTCCAAATCCTGGCACTTTCAACCACAAGTTCTCGAATCGGAAAGGAGCACGCACCCCCTCCCTCTGGATCCATCAAGCAAGATAGGCAAATGATCCGAAGTCAGCCTAGGAAAAGGAATCTGCAGTACATTCGGCACCAGCTCATCCCAGGAGGGCGATATCAGAAATCCATCAAGTCTAGATCTTGAGTCGGAATCCTCCGCCCTGGCCCAAGTAAACATTTCCCCTGACAAAGGAAGGTCAATGAGAAAGTGATCATTGATGAAGTCAGAAACTCCTCCATGGCCCTCGAAATCAGGCTACACCCTAATCTCTTCTCCCGAAATTTAATAGTGTTAAAGTCTCCCCCTAAAACCCATGAAATGTCCCATTCCCCCATAACATTGGCTAGTTCCTCCCAGAAAGACACCTTGGACCCTTCTTCTACCGGTCCGTACACTCTCCCAAATCCCCACTTCACCCCATTCACTCTATCTTTGACAAAAGCTGCTAAAGAAAAAACTACCTTCTTAATCTCCTTTACCTCCAAGTTTCTATCATCCCACATAAGAAGAATGCCCCCGGCACTTCCCGCTACTGGGACCCAGTCATATTTTACCCAACTACCTCCCCAGACACTCCTCACAATCGCATCCGACAAAACTTCCATTTTGATCTCCTGAAAACAAAACTAGGTTGGCACCCCACTCTAACTCCCACTTTGATGATGGCCCTTTGGTTTGGGTCATTCATCCCCCTCACATTCCATCACATTCCATGAAAGAATCTCAACTTTCATAAGTAACAATTTCCCCCTTCCATAACTGAATTAATCTTCTCAGTAACTCTTTTAGAAAAAATCTCTAAACCTAAAAACCAGAAAGTAACACATCATTCCATTGTGTTCCTCACTTAGAAGTAAACGTTACCATCTTTTCAAGTTTTTTTCTTAATAAGAAACAAGAAATGCAACATATATGGATGGAGTTGTAAGTTAAATAAAAATAGGCGTGTAATCAAAATTGAGGTTCTATATGGATTTAAATGAGTCTAATATAGATTTTATAAGCAATAAATAGTGAAGAAAATTTATATAGATAGTGAGTTAAACAATGTTCAGAGAAATGAATGCTGAAGAGAAGAATTTCAGTAAATTGAAGTGATAAGGAGAGCAAGATAAACAAAATGCGACAAAGAGAGCGGAAATATTGAGTAAAATGGTTAACTGCGCATTAAATCATATCCAGATAGAAAACTTACCAACTTATCAGCCGTTTTCACCGTGTCCTTACGTGAATGGACAAATACCATAGCCTGATGCCCTTGTTTTAAGGAATCAACAACCTGTGTAAGTGAAGAGTCAGGCCAGAAATTTATTGGGAGTGCACAACATAGCAAGGAAAAAGGTCTTGGAGAAAGATACCTTATTGTAGCATATCTCATTAAGAAGTTCATTGCGGGCTAAAAAATTATGCTCACTAATACCAATATACTGTTGTGCAAGAGGTACCGGACGGTAGCTTGAATCAAAGAAAAATAAACCTGTATCCGGATTCACCCTTAGAAACTGTGCAACCTGGATTTCACAAAAGGAATAGCCATGAACAAAAAGACGAACCAAAAGGATGTAACAAATTTTGGAGCTTCATCATTCTGTATAGACCAAATGTCCAACATGGAGGTAAAGACTTCAAAACCAAAAAAAGTTCACCCGAGAACCAACCTCCAAATAGTTGGGTAAAGTGGCTGAAAGGCCCACTATCCTTATCATAGACTGTGTAGACTCCACCTGTCAAAGCACCAGAATAAAAATTTAAACCAAATCATGCGCACATGAAAATGGAGTCACCTCCACCTTAGCACTAGAGGAGATGATATCACAATCAAGTTCATAACCTAAATCTTCATAGTAAGCCAATAGTTCTTACTGCCAAGTATAAATTTCCATGTTACACTAGGTTCATGACTTTAACCTCTGTCTCACAGCATTTTCATAACCTTCTAAATGCATCTCATATTCCTTTGGTTCTAAAAATGGAAAGCTATAAAATGTCTTCTTCCAACATTGTATTGTTCTGTTCTAAATGCCAATAACATGCTTCATCTTTCACTTAAAGGCCTTTATTGGAGAAGTTGAACAGTAGTAGAGAATTGCAGCAGTGTTAAGCGCATAGAGGCAACATCAGGATATATAAAAAATACTGAAACTTCCACAGCAGACACTAGATAAAGTAAACAGCTTTTGCTAACCTGACGAAGTGTACGGGCTACTAATGCTTCTATTACAGGGCCTCTATCATCATTTAGCAAATGGACTTCATCAATGATAAGTAGCTTCACCAGCATTGAGAGTGACATGTCACTGCTTTTACGAGTAATAACATCCCACTTTTCAGGCGTTGTCACTATCATCTGATGAAATATGATGAAAGCGAAAACTTAAGCAAGGCTTCAGAATGAAACAGCATCATAATTAAGCCAATCAATCAACCACTCAATTAGACCACAATCCAAAATAGAATAAAGCCAATAAGTAAACAATCAACAATATTACAAGAACTGAAGTGTGACAGAACCTGTGTTTCCTCAAGCTCATTCTTAGAAAGCTGCATGTCTCCAGTAAGTTCTCTCACAGTTACATTAAGTGGAGACAACCGGTGACTGAAAGTTGATGTGACCTCTGCAGCTAATGCCTAGAGAAAAAATCACCTTATATGACCAATTATCTGAATGAAATTGAAGGACACAATTCTCAAGCTATACCTTCATAGGAGCAACATAGACTATCTTGAATTCATCCTTATGCAAGTAACCATCTCTAAAGTGATTTTTAATCTGCACAAGAGAAGGTTATATAACTTCATCAAAGTGCCAGTAGACCCTTCACGGAAGAAACTCTAAAGAAAGACCTAGCAGACCTCATGTAGAATAGCAATCATAGCTATGTTTGTTTTCCCAGCCCCAGTGGGAGCACATACCTGGTAATAAAAGAAAGCTATCAAAGACAGATAAAAAAATTTATCACCATAGGCGAAACAGCATACATTTTAACTATTAAAAAAAAAGAGTATTAACATACACTATCAAAGGAGAAAATAACTCACTAGTATGTTTTCGTTGCTATTATAAGTAGTATGGTAAATTCTGCTCTGAATACGGTTAAGACTCTTGTAGCCATGGAAAGCTGTTTGTGCAAAATCGTCTAGCTCCTTTATCTCAATCTGATAAGAAAAACAATCAAGCAAAACCATCAGTTGAATTAAGCAACTTTTGGGGAAACCAATGAGGATCTACCAGAATAACATATCTTCAACTTTTCATGACATTTCCAATTCCAAATACATTGTTTTAAACAGTGGTACAGCCAGGCCACCTCGTAGGCCCCTCATCTAATCCACCGGGAGCCTGCTCCCTCATAACAACATAGATATTGGGTAAAACTCAATCAACCAATGCTTAATAGCCAAATAGAAGGAAAGAAATCATCTAGACATTTTCTATCTCCGCTGAGATCAAACCCTGGTCTCCCCTAGTCTATTCCAGTTTGTTGATTGTTAGGCTATAATGCTTTATAATTGGGTGTAGCATCAAATAAAATACCTTTAGCATTTCCTCACTTTACTAAATTTCAAATACATACATACATACATATATATATATATACACACACACACACGCACACAAAAAAAACACAAATACATATATACATATACACACACACATATATATACACATATGTACATATGAAAGGCATAAGTATCCCCTGAACTTGTCTCGAATTACCAGTTACACAGTTGTATATTGTG